TAAATAAAATAAAATAAAATTATGAAATCTTTACTTAATGAAGGACATCAGAAAGCACAGAAAGGTGTCAGGAAGAAAAAAACTACACTTGCTACTCAAGGCCAACCATTCTTAATTTTCCTGTTTTTTTTTCCCCGTATACACATTTATGAATATATAACCAGCCATACATAATCAATCAATACAGTATTATATTGCTATATTTCCAAACATAGTCATACCTTGCCAGAATCTTGTATCATTTTGACATTTTCAGAACCAAATTTATCTGAGTAAAGTTTAAGAAGTCTCTGGGAAATTTCTGACAGAGGTGTGAGTTTGGGTTCTTTGTAAATATACTCTTTTCCATCTTCATCTTCAAAGAATCCCTGTGACATAAAGCACAATTAGAGCTATTCCCAACTATAAGCCCCAGGCTTACCACCCAGGAAGGATTCTTGTGTTATAAGGGTTAAAAAAAAAAAAGGCGGGGTGGGGTAGGGAGGATGATTCTAAAATAAAATCCTACTTAAACAGGCTTTCTGAAGAGGAAGGAAAATGGTAATAATGTGAAGTCGGGGTGCAAAAATAAAGGAAAACACAAAACTGCAAACTCATTCAAGAATGCTGTCATTAAGTGTTGAGTGAAATGGAGGACTGGAGACTCAAGACTGTTCTCTCGGGATCTAATGATGGGATTCAAGCCTGTTTCACATTCCCAAGAAGCAGAGCTCACTAAGAAATGATTCGGCAGCCTGCTCTGGGCAGGCCTCGGAAATGCATAGAACCCTCCTCACTGGCCTCCCCCACTGACATAAGGACTTTACGGCATAAACAGAAACATTCCAGTCTGAAGCAGGTTCGGCAAAAGTTATCTGAAGTTCGCATAAATTCTATTTTGCTCTACTTATGAGAAAAACATGAAAGGGCTGGAGCATAATATCAGAAAATATTTTCACTATCACCAGTTAGCATGTGGTTTAAGCACCAATCATGTCTGAATACAACAAGGCTTAGAATTGCATGGGAAGTGAAAAAGGTTGAAAATTTTAAAGTCCAGATTGGGGTTAATACTTGAAATAAATGAAAAAAAAGTTTCTCATCTAAAATAAAAATGGTGCAAAAAACACAGTATATTAAAAAAAAAATGCAGGCTAACATGAGACAACACCCACATCAAACTAGGAGTTTAGATGCAGTAATTTCACTACATTAACTTGCTTTTTAAGCATTTACTATAATTACCTCCACATCTGTTTCACTGTCTGTAAACTGGTATTGCTATAAAGTTATAAAAGACAATAACAGGATAAATTGAAGGTTATATAATGCTCATAGGAAACCACACACCCTAAATAAATGGATTATAATTTAATACCATTTAATCATGTTAGAGACTTGGAGGTTAAACTTGCAGTTAAATTTAAATGAACCCTTTTCTACAGGGTTTCTGAACTATGACAATGGTAAATATACTTGTGGAGATATTATACTACAGAAGATAGAGATGCGCAGGGAACAAAGGAAACCAGAAAGTCTTAATTTTGGTTTTAAAACATGCAGTATAGAAGTGTAAGGAAATAGGTGATTTATTTCTGTAAATAGAATAAAATGTTAAATTTTTTTTTTTTTTTTGAGTTTGTAATGACTGGACAGATATACATACAGACTGGAAAAGGAAACTTGCGAACCACACTGAGGTACCAAAGGTGGTGCTAAAAATGTCTTATGGAGGGAGAACTTACCGCTGCCTTAAGACAGTAATAAAGAAAAGACAGGAAGAAAGAAAAAAAAGCAGAAAGTTTACTGCCGCGGAAGATAAGAATCATACTAAATATGACAAATTCATCAAATTAGCATTTATAGAAAATACAAAATTTACAAAATACAAATTTATAGAATTAAAAATAACAAAAACAAAAACAAGGACTTAGGAGGGCCTACAGAACAGAGAGGAGGCTCACCTGTCCAAAGAAGGCCACTCGGAAGTATGTCCCCAGGAGCCTGCGGCCTGAGTGCATGACCTCAGTCACTTTGCTGTAGGCCCGGTGCAGTGTGTCATACAGATGGGCCAGCCTCTGAAAGGCAGAACAAAACCCATTTCTTCCCACTTGCAACTAGGAGAATCAGTTTTAAAACAATTAAATGAGATCACAGAGGTAAAAATTTCTTGGACTTGAGTAAAAGAAACAAAACACACAGACACACACACAAAATCAAGACTGTCTCGACTGCACAATTGGTAACAACCATTTTTCAATTATAATATTTTCTACCCAAAGAGCCATTTTGCATATTGAGGATCCATCAAATCTCCACATTGCAGTAAGCACCTTCTGTTTTCAAGTTAACATGAAATGTCGGAGACGGTAAAGTCCTATGATGACGTTTTTAGTTTTTGCTTTTCCTACTTCTCTGATAAGTTACAAGAAGCTGGACAGCCTCCCCAGGGAGGCTGGCAGGGACAATGGCTTCCCATGCCGATGGAGCAAGGAGCAGCTCTAAGGAAGAAGGCACCCGGTGATTATAAAACTCTGTTCTTGGTAACCTTTCAAAAATGGAGTGGCACAATTACCAATCCTTGTTTTTTGAGATTTGGGATCTGTATAGAGGTGGGGCCCGTGTGGGCCACGTATAATGCTCTGCAGGTGGTGACCTCCAGCATCACACGGAGGGTCAGAGACCACGGGTCATCTCTGATCGTGGCCTGCTTGCTCTCTTTGCATGTAAGAAGGTTTGGGTGCATGTGTCACCCCACTGTCCTCTCAAACAGGAAAAAAACAAACCACTCTGATACCTCAAAATCTCTCCGTTTCTCGTAAATGGGGATGATGAGTTTATAGATGTCAGCAATTAGCTCATAGCGTTCAGCCTTCCAGAGTCCATCTGCACACTGCTCTAGAAGCTCCATGAGCACATCCTGATCAAAAAAGAAGGCCACCGGTCAGAAAAGAGTGTTATAGGAAACATGACATTGTATTCTTTGCAGAATGCTTAACCAATTAAGATGGTTAGGAGGAAAATGTCAAAATACATTATTTCTAAACACAAACTTCCACACTTGTAGTAAATAGCTCATCACTATGTTCTTTTTTAATTAGCCATTTTTCAATCATTTACAAGCAGAAATGAAGGGTCACACTGTATGCCTGTGTAATAGTTATATACCACAGGGAAAAAACAGACACTGATAGCTTCACACAGGCTCTCAATTTGTGTTAGTTCTATTTTTATAATTATAATTTAGAAAATTTTTTTTCCTGGGGCACCTGGGTGGCTCAGTTGGTTGGGGTCTGACTCTTGATTTTGGCTTAGATCATGATCTCAGGGTCATGGGATTGAGCCCTCCGTTGGGCTCCGTGCTCGGTGGGGAGCCTACTTGAGATTCTCTCTCTCCCTCTCCCCCTCCTCCCTGCTCTCTCTCTCTCTAAAGTAAATAAACAAATCTTAAAAAAAAAAAAAAGGAAATATTTTTTTTTCCTTTCTGAGAAACAATGACAATGCTGAGACATGAAATTACTAAGTGTGACTTCAACCCAAGTTAAGCATCTCAGAGCAATTTAGTGATGGCACATGGTAGGCATGACGCCTGCCTCACCAACAACCTTTCCTCCTTTCCTTGGAGGTTTCTATCTACTGAAGTTTGGGTAGTCACCCAGCCTCTATTAAAGTCCTTGGACTCTGGAGGAGCTAACACTTTCCATGACTCAGGGGTTGGGGCACATGGCTCAGGTGTAAACTAATCAGCATAAATCTATTTCCTGGCCACAGTCATTGTTTCATCATCCGTGGACATGTGACCTAAATGGGCCAATCAGGGTGAATTTTAGGACCCTGTCCTGGAAGGCTGGGACAGAAGTGTTCTCATCAGCCCAGACATGACAGGCAGCAAGGAACCTGACTGGGGCTGACATCCTGAGAGCCAGGCAGGGGCCCATGTGCCTTAGTAACAGTGGAAAGCTCCCCCTCCTTCCCAAAGCAACTGTATCATGGATAACTGTTAAACATTCACACTGATTGCTGTCAATCTTTCTGGAATTTCCTAATTGAAGCCAATTTACTCAACCTTTATTGTTTAAGCCTATTTGAGTGGGGTTTCATTAATGCCATTGAGCAAATTTTCGTGTGCTTCTCTGTCATCTCTATAGCTTTGGCAAAGTGTCCAATCGTTGGCTCATTTTTCTACTGGGCTGTTTAATGAGTTTTGAGAGTTCTTTACATATTTTGAATAAAAGTCCTTTTTTTTAATTATTATTATTTTTTAAGATTTTATTTATTTGCGAGAGAGAGAATGAGAGACAGAGAGCATGAGAGGGAGGAGGGTCAGAGGGAGAAGCAGACTCCCCGCTGAGTAGGGAGCCCGATGCGGGACTCGATCCCGGGACTCCAGGATCATGACCTGAGCCGAAGGCAGTCGCTTAACCAACTGAGCCACCCAGGCGCCCTGAATAAAAGTCCTTTACCAGACACATGGTTTGTAATTTTCTCCCAACCTGTGGTTTGTGTCTGGATTTTCTTAACAGTGTCTTTTGAAGAGGAGAAGTTTTTAATTCTGATGAAGTTTAATTTATCAAGTTTTTATTTTCTGGGTTGTGATTTACATACTGAAAAAATCTTTAACACAAGTCCACAAAGATTTTCTCCTTATGTTTTCTTCCAGAAGTTTTATAGTTTTACATTTAAGTCTATGATCCATTGAGTAATTTCTGGATATACATAAAGTATGGGTCATTTTTTTAATACGAATGTCTAATTGTTCCAATACCATTTGATGAAGACAATCCTTTCTCCACTGAACTGTCTTTGAATCCTTGTCAAAAATCGGGGGGGCGGGAGATGGGGTAACGGGTGATGGACATTAAGGAGGGCACGTGATGTAATGAGCACTGGGTGTTATATAAGACTGATTATCACTGAATCACTGAACTCTACCTCTGAAACTAATAATATACCATGTGTTAATTAATTAAATTTAAAAAAGAAAAAAGACAAGGGAAGTGTTAAAAAATGATCTTCTCTAGGTATCAAATATACTATGTGCTCTACTAAAGCAAAGAAAATAAATTATATTATCTGAATGACTGGGAAAAAAACTCATCTGAACCATATGTGTGTGGGTCTATTTCTGGCTTCTCTATTTTGTTCTAATGATAGAGATGTCTAACCTTGTGCCAATACCACCCTGTTTGGATTACTACTCCAGCTTTACAGAAGGGTGTCTCCACAGTGACACTAATGATATGTTGAGCCACACAACTCTTTGTTCTGGAGTCTGTCCTGTGCACTACAGAATGTTTAGCAGCATCCTCAGCCTCTACGACTAGATGCCAGGAGCAGTACCTTCTCCCTTCCCCCTTTCCCCAAACTGTGACATTAAAAAACCATTTCCAGACATTACCAAAAGTTCCCTGGGAGATGGGGGCAAAATTACTCCAATTGAGAACCAATGCTTCACAATAACCTTAAAAGTCAGATGGCGTGACTCTTCGAACTTTTCCAAAACTGTTTTGGCTAGTCTACTTCCTTTGCAATTTTCCATATAAATTTTAGAATTCATTTTGTCAATTTCTACCAAAACTCCAGAAGGGACTTTGATCAGAACTCTCTGAATCTGTCAATCAGTTTTAATAATATAGTGATTATATTAATTGGTTTTCTAATGTTGAACCAACAGTGCATTCCCAGGGTAAACTCCACTTGGTCATGGTTTATTTTTCTTGTTTATATTTTGTTAGATTAAATCCACTAATATATCTTTTAAGGCTAGTTGCCTTTAAACATGTTTGTATCCTCTATTATACTGTAAATGAAGGACAGGACCTTTGCTTTTCATTCCTAACCTAATGTTTCATTACAGGCCTAATGCTTACAGTTTATAGATCCAAAGAAAATAAATATATACATATTTTTTAAGTAGGCTACACACCCAGTGTGGAGCCCAATGCGGGGCTTGAATTCATGACCCTGAGATCAAGACCTGAGGTGAGATCAAGAGTCAGACGCTTAACCGACCGAGCCACCTAGGCCCCTCAAAGATAAACATTTCTAAAGCAGTTGTCAATCAATTTGTCAGAAAATAGTGACTTAAAAAAAAACATCTTTAAAGCAAGGCATTTAACTTTTATGTCATGTTTACAACATACAAATCATAAAACCGCCATCAGTGTAACTAAACTCTGAGCCAATACTTATAAAGAGGTATACCAGTTGTCTCACACTTTTATTGCAGGTCTTTTAAGTGCAAACACTAAACATTACATAGTAACTACTGTAACAGCTATAGAGAAAGAAGAAATCAGGAAAGGTTCTAATACCATCTCTTCTTGTGCATTTGTATTATAAAGACATACATCTTTTTTAGTTTTGTCTCAAATCTTTTCCAATGAGAGAATCTGCCCAAGCTAAGCATGACAAATTCTCACACTCCTCTGATTATAAAAAGCTAGATAAAAGCATACAAATAAAACCTGTATAATGTCAGTATCAATATATTTACCTTTCCATATTAGTAAAACTGGTGATATAATAAAGGTCTAACCTAATTTGGTGGTCATGAGGATCAAATAAAATTTTACCCATCAAAATGCTCTGAAAACTATAAATACTATGTGGTTAAATTCACAGGCCAATTAAATAAATCTCTCCTGTTTCAATCTTTGCTTTCTACTTTGTAGTGATTTTTAAAACTGGTATCTTACTTCCACTGGGCTATGTAATATCCCATAGTGCCACCCACATATTTGGTGGTTAGGAATTTCTTGGAGGAATGAATTAGTCTGCATTTTTCTTAGTAATATAACAATATTATTCATAGCTGCCCTTTGCTGTTGGGAAGCGAGTGAACAGTCCTTTTATCAAAGTCTTGCATTCCTCACACACCTTAGGTCAAAGACGTTGCTACTGGGTAGTTTTTGAGCATCTTCCTTCCCAGTGGTGCTGAGGGACTACAGGTAGAGGTGGAAGAATTCTGGAAGGCTCAATTCCCCATCAGGGATGAGGACAGGTACACCCAAAGCATTCTTCTGATAATGGAAGTCAAATGGAACTTTACCCATTTTAAAACTGTCCTTGTTTAACTTACAGACTACTCATTTGGCCCCTTTTCTCAATATTGGGCTTTGTTCAAAGAGAAATGTAAACTTTCTATAAAAAATTATAATTGGTTCCACTAGTATAGGATAATCCACACTACAGGTGTGAATACACAGTGATGACACCCTGTTTGTGGACGGGACCGGAGACACCTACAGATTCTTAATTCCACGTTGTAGCAGTTACAGCACAATAAGCATCTAGAGTCGTTTTAATGTAATCTCACAGAAAATTAAAAATTCTTCTCAAAGATTTATAAAAGTTATAACTAGGCATAGTCACTACCACATTGTTAACCTCTTTCCTTCATTCATTCACACATTTTACCAAGCATCTACTATGTGCAAGGCACTGTGTTTGACATTGGGTTATAAAGCAAATTTATATAAATAAAATTAAGTTTCTATAATTTATAAAAATGGTTCTATTTCTATAAATGTGGAAGGCAGGTTTTAGATGGTTTATTAGGCTATGCCACATAAATGAAATTTGTTTTGAGGAGGAGGCCTTCAAAGACACACAGAGGTTATCCTTCAGAGCAGCCAGAACTGATATACTAGAGACTCATGACCACCAACTGTAAGACGTGAGGTACATGTTAAGATACCAAGGACGAGGAAAACAGTGATTTCAAATACGTGCCCAAACTGCAAGTCACAAGGGCAGATGCTCTGAATTGACAGCAGTAGGGATTTATTTATTTAACAGTAGTCAGTGTGTCTCTGGGTGAGTACTGGAGAGGCCAATGATCAGTGAATAAAAAGCACTTCCTGCTCTCAAAGAGTCCAGTATGAAGACTGATCCATAAAGAGATTATAAAAAATGCTG